ATGGCCACACCTGGGGCTTGAGATGAAGCACTCATTCCCTCCACAGAAAACTACCTCGCCAGGCTCCAAACCATGGCTCACAGCTGCACTGGATAAAGATGCATCATGCTTGGCTGGTAGCTCCAAATTACATGCAACTCAGGATCTTACTTGCTCCAACCCTCTGCTTCCACACCAGGACCTTGGATACCGGTAGCCAGGTTACAGTGATGCAGTTATTCAACCCATTTCTGCAAGAGTTAAATGTCTCTTTACTTGCCACAGGACTGCCAAATAATTAACTCAGTGTCAAAAAGATGGCGGGAGCGGAGTGGAGAGAAATACAGGGATTGAGACTGAGTCCAGAATGGAAACACTTCCCTTTTCCAAGTCCCACACTGTGGAAGCTCCAGCAGAGCATGCTTTGGGCCCTGCAAGCCACAGGCTGCCATTAATACATATTCTGTAATAAGCCAGGTGTCATATTTCATACATGTCAGAAGAATCCAAGGACATCAGAATCCAACTCAAGTTAAAATAACTTATACATTTCAAATTGAACTGAACTACGTAACACACAATCTAAAGGTCTTTTGACGGTGTGATCTTTCTAAAATGGCATACTTATGGGTATGGTTCCCGAGTCCCCAGCTTCGACTTCAGAGCTAAGCACCAGCTATAGCAAAGCCCATAGTTCAGGATTACTTCTCTTCCCATTTTCCCCATTAAAAAACAAAAAGTTCATATAAATATTATATAGGAACCGCCTTTGACCATTTTCAGGTGCCATGCACACCCTCTTCTGGACAGTTAGGAGAAAAACTGATCACTGTCAGAAAAGGAACTTTTAAGTGGTAGAAACCTTGGTAAAAAGAAAAAAGAAAAAAGGTGGGGGATATTCCAATACAACTGAGGTGTGCTGCCTTTCTTTTTGAAATCACCAAAAATTAATTTCTTCTCATGATGAAAATCAGTGATCCTACTACTTTCTGATAGATGAGTCTATTCTTTTCTGATTCCCTACATTTCATTGTGACACAGTGACAAGGTCTGGGGCTACTTTACAGTGACAAGGTAAGCGAGGCCATCAGTTCCTCAAGACACTGAGGAAGGGGAGGGAAGCTGTTCGGTTTGCACACTCTGAGCATCCTGTGACACAACAAAGCACAGGAACAGCAAGGACTGTGCCATGGACTGTGCTTGAATTCCAGTTCTACTATTTACCTGTGGAATCCTAGGTAAGTTACTTAATACCTCCATGCTGTTTCATCTAAAAAAATGAGAAAGTATTTCCTCAAAAGGCTGGCTGTTGTGAGGACTCATGAGTTAATATCGGGAAAGGCTTAGGAGGAGTCTTCTAACACCACAATGGCTCTGGCTAGATGCCTAGGCTCTGCCATCCCAAGTGGAGGTTTTTACAATGACATCTTTCTGCAGGTTTTACTACTTTCTTTGGCAAACCCATCAGGAAGTCATGAATTTCTTAAGTACCTATTCTGAAATGATAGACTGCATTTCAATAATAATTTTATTAGTTACAGAAGAATCTTCACTAGTATTTACATAGTGCAAAAAAGCTGTTATTACCCCTAAAATGTGATATAACAATTATCCTTCATACAGTAAAAGAACTAACAACCTTTTTGTTATGATTCATACTAATTTTGCTAATTTTTAATTAGAGCATTATAATTAAGACATTAAATTATAAATTCATGTGATATCTTTAGAAATTAAATTACAAAACAATACAAATACTTTTAAAGTGTGATGTGCCAACCAAGTTTAAACTTTATGATTAATTAGGATTCAGATTTCAGATCAGGCAGACAGTTTGGTTGATTCTGTATATGTATAAAGGTTGGAAGAGGGAGGGGAAGATGCCTGTAAATAAATTATTTCCCAGAAAAAAATTTTAAGTTAAAAAAAGATAAAATTTTTAAATGGATAAGTTAATGTTTTAACCTGTTGGCACAACACACAGAAAATACTTAAAATGACAGTTTTTTTTAAGCAAACAGCAGCTTTACAAACAGTAACACTTATTTATACATGTATTAAAGTAACGCTGTGTTGAGATTTAAGTTTTATGTTAAAGAGAAGATGAATGTAGAGTTCACTACTCATTTGCACATTACAATTACCACCCTCCCCACCTCCCCCAGTTTATTAAGAAATCAGACAAGTACATTATTTGGATATTAATTTCTCAACATTTAAACTATGTAAATTCCTTTTGACTAATTCATTTCCAAATACTGGAAGCATATAAAATACCATCTCTGCAAAAATGACATCTAGTCAAAGCCTTTAAAAACTTTTCAATGTATAACAGATTATTTTTCCCATGTTTAGTCAAAAGAAATATATTACATCATTTACAAATATATTTAAACCAGAACTTAAGCTAATATGAACATTTGTCTTTTGAGAAGTAATCTCCACAGTAAACAAACCTATTGAAGCAGAAATCTAGTTTTGGAAGTGCAATTCATATTGTAATTCAGATACTTACATATTGAAGTAGAAATCTAATGTTAATTGTTGCCTTTAAAACCACCTCTATACACTAAGAAAAAAAAAAAATCACTTTCTTATTTCTTGTGATGATAAACCCTTACTCAAGGTCTCCAAAGAGGCACTCACCCCAGACCCATAAAAAAACCATTTCCTTAATTTTACACCTCCTCCTGTATATAATGTACACATCCCAGAATTTTATCTAAAGGAAACAAGTTATAAAGACATGATTAATATTTATTTAGCATAGTTCAACATAACAACCTTCCCTTTAATAAGTGGGGGCTGTCCTCTAGGCGTGACCCGTCCCATATAAAAAGGCTGTGGTCCCTGGGTTTGCTGGCAGAAGATGCTGCACGTGCAGGAGCGTCTATCGGACAAGGAGTTAAACACTTCTAACGTCTACAGCAAAAGGAAAAGTTATGGGTGTTCCTAAGACTTCCCAACTTCTCTTTTGATATAAATGTCAAAAATCTAAAATGAGAATTCTCTCATTCAGAAGAGATATAAAATATAAGAAACCTTTGAAAAGCCCTTACCTTGATCAAGAGTTACTGACTTACTGACACCGAACAAAGGAAATTTACACCATTAAAAAGTTTGAAAAGCTTTTAAGTTTTTTTTAAGATTGTCAGTAGTTCAAAAACTCTATCATTTCTTTAAACCACCTAACACTTCCAAATGTGTAGGGACAGTAAGATCTGCCACATACAAATCCATGATTTTATTTCAGAGGCTTCATACCTTACATGTTGTGTTCCTTTAAATACTGGATACTTTGTGCTTAAAGAGTCTAATCTGGAGTTTGGACAGGACAATAGAATAACATCCCTTTTTAGCACACTAATAAAATTGACTGACTGACATTTTCTACATAGCAATGCTCTTCAACTTTCACAATTCATAAATATTAAATCATCAATCAAGAATCTGATCTCTCCAGTAATTAAATGCCAACGTTATAAAAACATCAAAACTAGCACAGTAGTCCCAGTGAGTTCAGTCAAGAATCGCCTAATTCTCTCCTCCTGCCTCTGTGAGGCAAAGCCTGCCCTATAAAACCAGGACAGGAAAAATACCCCTCCCTCCTCAATTCTGTGCCTGCTTTGGGGAGCTTGTAAGTGTAAAGATGGGGTGTCTGTGCGTCTGTTGGTAAGTTGGGGGTGGGTTGGAAGGAAGACACAAAATAGGTAATTTGTAATTCTCCCACCATTACATAAACTTGTCAAGGTCACCACTACCATTACCAGGTAGTCTTAGCTCAGTATTTCTCCCAGCAGGTATACATATTCCTAGAGAAGGGCAGGGATAAATAATAATGATCAAGTATTAATACCTGCGTATGGCTGCATACTATAAACCATCTGATAGTTTCAGCACAATTAGAACAACTTGCTCTTTTCTTCAAAACTTCCTCTTCCAAGCCTTGATTATCAGGATATATGTAAGTTATGTAAAGTTCCTTTCCCTGACCTCCTATCAGTAACTATGGTTAGTGTTACAAGGCAAGTGCTTGAGGCTAAAGGCAAAATACATATATTTCAAAAAAGGTGAAATGGTTTCTTACTCAGGACAAATTTGGATAGCCCATCAAATCCCTATCTCAAAGTTAGAGAGTCCTGAATCAGAAGCATGCAAAAGAATACACCAGTATACGACTTTATGAATCGTTATCAATTAAGAGCTGCAGTCATACAATCAGTTATTCAATATTAAAATTTGCCTAACTTTATGTAAATATGAGTATGTACAAAGGCATTCCTGAGGTAAGCAGCAAATCTGAGACAGAACCTGAAGGTCCCATCATGGGTGACTTTTCATAATTAAATACAACATCTATCACTTTCCATAAATGAGGCCAACTCTAATCGTGGGGGCCCCTTTGCCAACCCACATACTGGAGGCTGTTTTAGCCCATCCCAACTGTGATGTTATTAAGGTCAGTGACTTCTGAAACAAGCATTTGTGGACCAAAAAAAGATGCATCAATTCTTAACACAAAACACTTTGGGAACTTACTTATGCTCAGCTTCTTTTTTTAAGTTTTCTAATTCTATTCTACTGCCAGTTCATTTTTGAAGAAGCCCAAATATTTTGGCCAGACAGGTTAGAGTGAAAGAAGGCTAGTCTTGAAGCAAACATTGATAACTGCTCCTACCCTTAAAACCTTGATCTTTAACTTTCCAAGTGACTCTCAATAAGTATTGTAAACTTATTTTCTTCAAAACTGGTCTTGTTCTTTTTTAAATAATTATTTTCTATAATAAAATAAGCTGAAACAATTCTGAATTTCCCACAGTTCTTAGAAAGACACTTAGATGCTAATTAAAAGCTAAGCTATAGGTCATAACAAAACAAGTAAAAGACAGCTACAAAAATATTTCTGTCGGGAATTAAATACATATATTAAATATTGGACAGTGCAAAATGTTGAGATGAAGCATAAAAGATAATGGCTATAACCCTTACATGGTTGGAGATAGAAGCAGACATTTCCTGAGTTAGAGATCTGGGGGTGTAGGGTTAGAATCGGAGTGCTCGCTGCTCAGAGAGCTGCAGTTGCTGGGCTTCTGCTGCTCCGGGCTTGCTTGGTGGTCAGTAGTCCAGGCCTCACTGTCCATCCCTGGCTCCAGCACCTCAGGCACCTCTGCTTCCTCTTCCCCACTTGGCTCTGCATTGTCTTCCTCAGAACCATTAAGGGTTTTCCCAAGCTGAAGAGTTTCCATTGTTCTCTGGGTCTCAGAGACCCAAGACTCAATTCTACTATTGAGCTGTACTTCTACAGATATGGGTTCATGGGTATAATCCTCCTCCTCCTCTTCTTCTTCATCCTCCTCTTCTTCAAGCATGCCAGGAACAAGGGTGCTGGTGGTGCTGGTGATGGAGGAATTCAAAATATCCCGGCAACTCCCATCCAGAGAGCCGGTCTCCGTACTCTGCTGCGAGGCCCATTCCAGGTCATCCGGCTTCACTTCCTCTTTCTCACTCGCTGCTGGTTTCCCAGGGTTTGCAGCTGAGGTAGTACTGCCTGTGGCCACTGAAGATGGCTGCTTACCAACAGGGGCTGTGTCAGATGGAAGTTTACTGGATTTTTCAGATGTGCTGTGTCTACAGGAAACCTCTCTCTCATTTTCTGATGTTTCCAGACCATCTGAAGTTTCCACCATGTTTCTCCAATTTGTTTCTGCAAATATCAAACAGATTTTTTAAAAACCAGAACAATGTTTCAGAATTATGCAACCCATACAAGAGGGGAAAACAAACTACAGAAATTTATTGGCTCACTAACTGATTGGAAAAACGAAAACTTTAGATTGTTTTAGTTTAAATGTTATAAAGAAAACAATTCTCACAAATGTGCATTTAAGATAAAAAAAAAAAAGGAGGCAAAAGTAAATATATTAATGCTTGAAAATGCAAAAGATCTCATACCAATTGGAGCTCATTGGTATGCTCATATATAATATTCATGTATTAATGAAAATCAATAAGTTGCCCAACTTTTTTTGGCCTGAAGTGTACTAGGCTCAAGAATCCACAAGTCATGGATGGTAGAGCCGAGATGTCCAGCAGAAATAGTTCTGATTTGACTGGTTTTACCATGCTCCCTTAGCAAGTTACCTAAGAGCTGTCTTGTGGCCTATAACGGGACTAGGATTTCCATTTATAAGCAAAGAAGCCACCCATGCATTTCTAACATGTGTGAAACTCTGTTTTATAATATACATGGCTTGGCTTACCAAGTGACTTTGAGAACAAAAAAAGAAAAATATTATTATGTCTAATATAGTGGTGATAAAGTCAGATTATTTTTAATGATAGTAAGTCAGTTAAGAACTAAAAATGTACAAGGAATCAGAAGATAAGACAGCTCTCCTACCTCTTTATTTTCTTTTATTTCTCAGTTTACATTTTTTCATTTTATCTTTTTACAAGTGACCCAGAGCACGATATTTGTGCGGGGGGGGGGGGGGGGGGTGAGAGGAGGTGGGGGCCTCAGCCCAGCCTACACTCTCTCCAATCGGGAACCCCTTGAGGGATGTCTGACTGCTGGTTTAGGCACAATCCCACATGGCCTTTAGGATCGGGCCTAAACTCGCAGTCGGACATCCCTCTCACAATATGGGACTGTAGGCTCCTAATCATTCACCACCTGCCTGCCTGCCTGATTGCCCCTAACTGCCCTCCCGTGCCAGCCTGACCTCACCTCCAAATGCTCTCCCCTGCCGGCCTGATCTTGCCTCCAATTGCCCTCCCCTGGTGGCCTGATCTCACCCCCAACAGCCCTCCCCTATAGGCGTGGTTGCCCCTTCAACTGCCCTCCCCTGCAGGCCTGATTGCCCCTAAGTGCCCTCCCCTGCAGGCCTGATCTACCCAACTGCTTTCCCCTGCTGGCCTGATCCCCCCTAATTGCCCTCCCCTGCTGGCCAATTTGGTTCTGATTGGTTGGTTTCTATGCCAGTCAGCGCGCCAAAAGCTCCACTTCCTAGGCAGCCATTGGGCTCCTTACAGTTCACCCAGATTTGATTCTGATTGGTCAGTTTCTATGCCAGTCAGTGTCACCAGGCCTATCTCTGGGCCTGATCAGAGGTGGGGCTGATCAGCAGCCCCCGGAGGCCCAGAGAAAAATAGAGGAACAGCTGCTGGCGAAGCCAGGAGAGAAAGAGAGAGCAATGGCTGATCAACAGCTGCCATGGAGGCTGCGGATCAGTTCCTGCCTCTCTCTTCAGGCCTCTTTCCGGGCGGATCTACAGCCCCCTCAGAAGTCAGTGCTGGGTTGCCATGTCCACATCGGTGGCAGTCAGTGCTGGGTCACCACAGCAACCCAGCACTGACTGCAGGACTGACTTCCAGTGTTCAGTTGAACTTTCTGTCTGTCGTTATGGACACTGGGTTTTTATATATTAGGATTATTGAAGTATAACTGACATATAACTTATTAGTTTCAGGTGTACATTCCAATTTGATATTTATAGACTGTAAAATGATCACCACAATAAGTCTAGTTAACATCCATCATCGTAAATACTTAAAAAATTGTTTTCTTTGTGATGCGGGCTTTTAAAATCTCTCTTAGCAGCATTCAAATATGCAATACAGTATTATTAACTATAGTCACCATGCTATAAATTATACCCCCATGACTTATTTTATACCTGGAAGTCTGTGCCTGTGGACTGCCTTTATACATTTTGCCAACCCTCAACCCACTTCTCTGGCAATCTCCAATCTGTTCTCTGTATCTATGAGCTTGGTATTTATATTTAAAATACAAGTGAGGTCATACAGTATTTATCTTTTTCCATCTGACTTATTTCACTTAGCATTATGCCCTCAAGGTCCATCCATGTTGTTGCAAATAGCAAGCGTTCATTCTTATTTATGCCTGAATATTCCATTGTATAAATATACCACATCTCCTTTACCCATTCATCCAACAATGGGCACTTAGGTTATTTCTTTATCTTGGCTATATAAGTAATGCAGCAATGAACATGGGGTTGCATATATCTTTTTTAATTAGTGTTTTCATTTTCTTTGGATAATTACTACAGAAGTGAAACTGCTGGATATGACAGTTCTACCTTTAATATTTTAAAGAACCTCCATACTGTTTTCTATAGTGGTTTTACTAATTTACATTTCCACAGAGTACACAACAATTCCCTTTGCTCTACCATCCTTGCTGACATCTTTTTTGTTTGTTTGTTTGTTTGTTTGTTTGTTTGAAAATAGCCATTCTGACAAGTATGAAGTGATCTCTCACTGTGGTTTTAATTTGCATTTTCGTGATGATTAGGAATGTTGAGCATATTTTCATGTGTTTGCTGACCACTTGTATGTCTTCTTTAGAAAAATATCTATCAGCTCCTCTACCCATTTTTTCATTGGCTTATGGGTTTATTTTACTATTGAGTTGTATGAGTTCTTGATATTTTAAAAATATTAATCCCTTATTAGACATATGATTTGCAAATATTTTCTCCCATTCTGTAGGTTGCCTTTTCATTTTCAGGTGGTTGGTTTCCTTTGCTGTGCAGATTTTTAGTTTGATATAGTTCCACTTATTTCTGTGGGTTTCTTAAAAATAAAAATTCCCTTCTATTTGCATTATAGTTGCTATTATATTTTAAAGGTATGATCAAGCTATGATGATAAAACAAGCCTATTCATCCTATATAATAAAAGCCTAATATGATAAGTGTCTTGACAGTTTGATGGTTTGACAGTTCGACCAGTCACTATGACGTGCATTGACAACCTAGGGGGCAGACACTCTGACCAGTAGCTTATCTTAATGCAGGGGTCTGAACAACTGGGACTGGATGATTGTGATGTGGGCTTTTAAAATCTCTCCAGAAATGCCTTGGAGTCTTCCTACGGTTCCTCCCTGACCCCAATTGTGCACCAGTGGGGTCCCTTGGCCTGATCTGTGCCCTCCCACAATCCAGGACCCCTCCGAGGATGTCAGAGAGTTGGTTTTAGCCTGATCCCTGCAGGCCAGGCCGAGGAACCCCACCAGTGCAATCCACTTTCCCGGCCTCTAGTATTAATATATTCAACTTTATTGTCAGCTATCAACTGTATAATATAGACCATATTTCCAGTACTTGAAATCAGAGCTCATGGTTTGGAACATCCTTTTCTGCAGTGCCTTCAAAGTATAAAAAAGGTCCTTTCCACTCTCACTCCTACCTCATGAAAAACAACTCTTCCTTCTTCTATAGTCTCATTCTTGGTTAGTAACATCTTTTCCTGGTCTCAAAACAGAAGAAATCTTATAGTAATCCTTCATCCTATCTTTCTCCCTTATGATATGTCTTTATTTCACTGAATTCATAACTGTACCATGTCACTTCTAACTTAAAAACTATTAAACGTGGTCACTATTGCCTCAGCTTATGCCTCTTTACCTAACTGTACATCTGTAATATCTTCCCAATTGGTTTTGTGAATTGGTCACATCAATGTCTAATGGGCCTTCTATTACCCCGTTTCCCCGAAAATAAGACAGTGTCTTATATTAATTTTTGCTCCCAAAGATGCGCTAGGTCTTATTTTCAGGGGATGTCTTATTTTTCTATGAAGAAGAATACAGTACACATTTATTATTAAATGAAAATAAAGGAAATTTATTTCCTGTACACAGTACGGTAGTACGGTAGTTGTCAACACAAACCAGACAAACTGTAAATCCTACAGTATCAAGAATTTACTCATTTATTCAATGACAATCATGTCATCATCTTCTGGAACATCATCATAACAATCCAATTCCTGAATTTCCTGGTGAATTTCTTGTGACTCCATTTCTTTCAGAATCAGTGGACCAAATCTCTCATGTTTAGCAATAGCATTCTGAGACAGAGCCTGGGGGGGACCTTATTTTCGAGGGGTTGACTTATATTACACTCAGAAGGAAACCAGTAAGTAGGTCTTATTTTCGGAGGATGTCTTATTTTTGGGGAAACACGGTATCCTGGTAATCCAAACTCCTTAGCTTGCTGTAGCCAAGCCCTTCATGACGACCCTTATCTATCTTTCTGGTCCCATTCATTCTAACCCCAGCCATGCATTCCACCCTCGGGATCACACTTATTTTTCACTGCCCCCAGAAGTCATACTCTATTTACAAGTCCTTGCTTTGCATAGTTGTTCTTTCTGTATGAGATGTGTTTCCTTATTTACCTTTCAGATTCCTCCTCCCTCCTTCTTGATAACCATCTAAAGTGTCAGATTCTTTGTGAAGCCTTTCCTGATACTCCTCAGAAAGACAGTCAGTTATAACCTGAACTCCAACAATACTTTTTTGCATATACTGTTCAAAGCACTTGTTTTGTGCTTGCTCTTTACCCCTCCCTCCCTTTCTCCTCATTACCACTCCTGCTCATCTGTATTTCCCTATGGCTGGCATATAATAAGTGCTGAGGAGGAAAACCCCTATTAACTAAAAAAATTTCACGTATACATTATGCAAAAACAAACTTTAAAAAGGCATAACACTTTTTAAAACTTCAGTTGCATATTTACATTTCCTCCCAACCTTTTTTTCACCTTCAAAAGTATTAGAAGAATTCATGTGGGGTCTTAGAAAAGTCCTACCTCCCCCATGACAATGAGTCAAGGAATAGGAAAAAGGAAAAAAGTCAGTAAGTGGAGGTCAGCTGACCTCTCTGAAGACTTAGTCTTGAGCTGAAAGCCACCTTCAGAAAGCAAAGGGAGATAGATCTTGAAAGCAGAGACAAGGAACTGTGCAATTATACATCAAGTATCTTGTCACAATGATCAAAGAGTCAGTGTGATTACATATCCACAGGGCCTCCCAAGGCTCCCTCCCACCTTAAATTATAGGTGAAGGTTGATCAATAACTGATGAGCATACAAACACATGAACACAATGGGGAGAAACACAGCAGGTGTAAAAGTGCTGCCAGAAGAGGACTGGAGGATGTTGGTGGAGGAGCAAAGCAGGCAATCTAAAGCCAGAACAGAACAGCTAGGCATCCCCTTTTGAAGAAGCAAGTTAAAGGAAGGATCAAAGATCCCAACAAACCTGGAAATAGTACTGATCCAAATCTACCCTGCTTAAAACTTGTTTATTTTAGCAGAACTTATTCAATAAAGCTGTTCTTTGCTTTTTAATCTCTTCCATGCTTTTCTGTTTCTGTTTACTGGTTCTTTGTAAAATTAACTTTTTAAAAACTTTCAAGTCACTAGTGGGTTTGTCAGAGGATAAACTGTATTTATTCCTTCAGTCAGCATACACAAAGAAGCTGTCTTAGTTTTTTTATAGTAGAGGAACAAGCAACTGAATTTAAGAGCCTACAGAGGAAGAGGTGGTGGCAGAGGATGAGCAAGAAACTCAGAAGGAATGGACTAGACATTGAGGTTGTCCTCCCTCACAACTGCTTGCTGAACACTTACTGTTTGGTCCTACTGAGAATTTATTCAACAGGCAGGACATATGCATCATACTGGCTGATAGTACAGGTTCCAGAGCCAGACCTACTGTGACAAATTAGTTACCTCTTCTTCTTAGCTTCCTCATCTATAAATTGCAGTACAACCCTAGCCCGTATGGCTCAGTTGGTTGGAGCATTGTCTTACACCAAAAGGTGGCAGATTGATACCTAGTCGGAGCACATACCCAGGTTTTGGGTTCAATCCCTGGTCAGGACACAAGCGGGAGGTAGCCAACTGATGTTTCTTTTACCTTGATATGTCTGTGTGTCTGTCTCTCTCTCTCTCTCTCTCTCTCTCTCTCTCTCTCTCTCTCTCTCTCTTTCTCCCCCCCCCCCTTTCCCTTCCTTTCTCTTAAAAATAAAAGTATCAGTAAGTGAGTTATTATATATCAAGTGCCCATTATGTGCCAAGTCCCCATTCTCAAAAAACTTGCGGCTTAGTTGGGATTTATGTCTGAAACTATTTGTTTCATGTAAGTATGATAGAATTGACACTCAGTTCAGGTGGAAGAAAAACATAAGTAAAGAAAATAAGGGGTGCACAAAGGACACTAAAATTGGACTATTACAGAAGCCTTTCTTTTCTACCCTTTCCCATATTTGTTTTTACTTTAAACCATAGAAACCAAAAGAAAACATTTTAGAAATATTGCACCAGGATGACATGGAAGACTCTGTTTGTTTTCTAACCAACAGTCATTACCCATCCTCTTCCTGGTTAACAGAACTAAATTTGAGATGTACTTGAACCCATTCCGAGGGGATGAATTAAAATAGCTTTTATACCATCAGTTATCCCATTCCCCTTTGCCAAATATTCTCTTGCTCATTCTTCATGCAGCTATGGTAAAAGGAACCAACATGATCAGCTCTAGCCAAATAAAACAAAAGAAGTCTTCTGGAAATCTTCCTTCGCTGATAAAAGGAGCACACTGACTGAACCTTCTGCTTTTGACTACAGCTATGATGCCCAGAGCCACAGAAGCTATTTTTAAACATGAGATGATAAGCATAAGAGGAAGCCACGGACTGAGAATGAAAGAACAAAAAGAAGGGCCATCGATGGCATTGTGAAATAATTAAATATCCTAATTTCTTAGGCCACATTAGTGGGTTTTGTGTTTGTTGCTGAATGCTTCTGAAACAGAGAATACTTTATGCTTTGCTCTCAAAGTTGTTATGATTACTTTCACTTAATTTTGTTGGTGTCCTGATAAATCAGTTCATTAGGCCAGAATCTTTAACCAGTTAACAGCTACGAGTCCAAAACGGAAACCATCCCCACATCCCACGATATTTTGAATTTAAAAAATCATTTTGAAGAGAATATTTTTTATTTTTTTATTTTTTATTGATTTTTTACAGAGAGGAAGGGAGAGAGATAGAGAGCTAGAAACGTCGATGAGAGAGAAACATCGACCAGCTGCCTCTTGCACACCCCCTACCGGGGATGTGCCCGCAACCAACGTACATGCTCTTGATCGGAATTGAACCCGGGACCTTTCAGTCCGCAGACCGACGCTCTACCACTGAGCCAAACCGGTTTCGGCATTGAAGAGAATATTATAAAAATAAATATATTACAATTCGGGTGTTCTTGAATATTTTCAGTTGAAAATTCTCAAGAAAAAAATGATTTTAAAGCATCTATAGATGCCTATGGCATGTAGAGGGTAAGGCTCTAAATCCATTCTTGGGGTTCAACCATTCTTGGGGTTCACTGAACTTTCACTTGGAATGGGATTTTTATATATAATCAGATAAAACTAAATCCACCAGACAGAGGGTGAAAAAGCCAAGGTTAAACACTTTAAGTCTGGTGCTTTTTAAAAATATCTAAATCCCTGAGAGGTTCCTTTCATAACTTTTATGCACCCAAATGAAGATTAATTACTGTTGTTTGCTCAGACCCACAGCTTTATGAATTTATCTTATCTTGCAGTTTGCCTTTGAGATCTGGCATATCACTATATAGAGTGTCCTCATTCTAAATGTTGGCACTTTGTCTTCTTTATTTTCAATTAATATCACACCAGCCAAAGAAACACATCTACCTCTATTCCAGTACCAACCGTCCTTGACCAAAAGTTCCCTAAAGGCCCACAATCTTGATATATTGTCTTCGGTCTGTAGTGCTGTCAAAAGTATTCCAAACATTTAACTACAATGACAGAGACCAGGAAAAGTGGGAGAAGAAAGGAAGAAAACCACTCTGTTTTCGATTGTTAAATTTTAGGTGGCAACCGCATATTTGGTAAATTTTCAGATAAACAGATTAAAAAGAGAAAAGAAGAGAAAGAACAAAAAGCCAAGTTGAAAAAGATGGCTATACTATTAAAAAAAAAAGAATAGGTGAAAAAATTCAGAAACTAGATCAAGAAAGTAGAGAATTTAAATGTTCAAAATGTGATAGAACCGAGTATTACTGTCCAAAGGCAAGGAAACCACTAAGAGGTTTTATAACATTAGACTGAATAGTTAGTATTCAGGTCTTTTGTTTACTTAGTAAATTTAAAATTTTAATAAATGTGCATAAATAGAATAAAACATCCCAGAATTTACTAAGTTATAGGTCATAAATAAGGTTCATTTTGCTTTTAAAATCCTTTTGGGATTTTTCTTTTTTAAGACTATGGAATGTGACTAAATTTCAGGGTCTCCCAGAAAGCATCAGCCCCAAATTATCTCCTAATTTTAAAATTTATTTTTATTGATTTCAGAGAGGAAAGGAGAGGGAGATAAGAAACATCAATGATGAAAAAGAATCACCGATCAGCTGCCTCCTGCATGCCCCCTACTGGGTATTGAGCCCACAAGCCGGACAGGTACCCTGATTGGGATTTGAACTGTGACCTCCTGGTTCATAGTTTGATACTCCACCACACAGGTAGGGCACTCTCCTAATTTTCAATGGCTGTGATTTTTTAAACCAAAATTTTAAGCAAAATTTGAATAATCACTAAGATAAAAACAAAAATAGCATAGAAAGTCATTTTCCAATTATCATAATCTAAAAATAATTTCAAAATTTAAGTCACTTAAGTTAGTCAGTGAAAGATAAATATCACATGATCTCACTCATATGTACAATCTAATGAACAAAAGGGATCAAGAGACAATAGAAGCACAGACTGCGGAATCTCAGGGGGGAAGGTGGGTGGAGGGAGTGTGGGTAGAGGAGGTCAATGGAGGGGAAAAAGGAAATATCTGTAATAATTTCAACAATAAAGATAAATTTTTAAAAATTTGTTATTTTTTATGATATGCAACAACTTACCATATTCCTTTTCATTTACTTCAGAGATGGGCTCAGAAATAACACTGCAGAAGGAAATGGCGCTGGCTGCTGAGGGATTCCGTGAATGCCCCATGTGGTGTGGCACCTTCTTCACGTTCTTTAAGGCTTCCTCCGCCTGCTCTTGCTCCATTGCTGCCACCATATCTTTATAGGCTTTCCTGGCTTCCTCAGTGAGTTCTACTAACTTATTAAACAGGCTCTAAAAAGAAAGAGATTTTGACTAGTCCATTTTTTTGTTATACTTTTTATTCCTATTACTAACAATAAATCTCCGCTGTTTCAGAATCAGATCCACTTTCAATCAGCACAAAAACCAAACAGGATGCCAAACACAGAACTTTATAAAATACTGTAACTTAATATTTTGTTTAATGATCACAAGACTGGGGAAATTTCCTGATTTAATACTAGTCACTACATGTGATATATATTAAAAGTTCTTGGAGAGTTTATCAATCAACAACTGCATGCTTTAGCATTTGGCACTATAGTGGATACAAAGACCACTAGACCACCACTCTGCTTTCAAGAAACCTCCCATGTGATTAAAAGGAGAAAACAAAAGACAGCTATGACTCCAGGCAAAAATATTATAACTGCCTTAACATGTACAAAGTGTTTTGTCCTTTGGAGAAAGTATCAAATCTAACCGCTGGGCATCAGTGAAAAATTCATGAAGTAATATGATGTGTGATATAGGCCTTGAAAAATATGCCTAGGTACAATTTTGAGAGATGGAGAGAGTGTATTCTTACTCATGCAGGTAAAATCATGAATAAAGACACATAGAAAAGTACAAGGAATGGCCCCGCGGCTCAGTGGCTGAGCATCAACCTGTGAACCAGAAGTCGCCCTTTGATTCCCATTAGGGAACATGCATATTAAAGAACAGACAAACAAAAGACAAACAAACAAAAAAACCCACGAAATAAGCCATTTAAAAAACGGGGGGTAAGGCGAGGCCCAAGGAATGGCCTTGGCCAGAGTAGCTCCGTTCGTTGGCGCACTGTCCTGCACATCAAAGGGTGGTGTGTTTGATTCTTGGTCAGGGCACATACCCAGGTGTGAGTTAGGGTATGTACAGGAAGCAATCGATCAATGTTTCCCTTACTCTAAGATCCTATAAAATAAAGAGGTGATATGCAAATTGACCCTCACACCTTCACACAATCTGGGCACCCCCATGTGGTCAAAGATGGCTGCCCCCAGGTGGTCACAAGATGGCCACCACAAAATGGCCAGCAGAGGAGGACAGTTAAGGGTGACCAGGCCTGCAGGAGAGGGCAGTTGAGGAGGACTGGGCCTGCAGGGGAGGTAGGTAGGGGTGACAAGTCGGCAGGGGAGGGCAGTTGGGGGCATACTCATGTTAAAAAAAAAAAAAAAAGGCAAAATTCACATAAGCATTAAAGTTGTACTTCAATAATCATGAAGTCTAATGATGTCCAAAAGAAAAATGAAGTTTCCACAGCTACCAGAGAGACAAACAATTATTTTTAGTAGTTCTTACATCATAATTCAATAAGCTTCAACTCTTTTTAATGTCTTGATTTAGTATCACAAGACACGCCGCCACATAGCATAATTTTTTTCTTCTAAGTTATTATCATTTTAGTATAAATAACAAAATGAAAGCATAGCAAGAGGCATCATGATCACTCCCCCCCAACAGGAGGTGGGGCAGGCCAGGCAAGCTCCTGTAGCACCTCCACTTCCCCGACCCCCGCTGGCCATGCCCCCAATGGGCTCCCACCACCCTCATCAGGCTGCAGCTCCTCGCCATGGCCAGCCCCACCCGATAGCCTCCTGACCCCAATAGCAGGTGGGCCAGCGAGCCAATCTCCTGCAACCCCTCCCCCTGCTCAGCCCCATCACAGATTGCCCCCCCACACCTTGGCCAGTCAATCACCCATGGCCCCTCCCCAGCTGGCCCTGATCAGGCCCCAATCGGGGTGGGCCGGCTGGACCCCACCTGTGCACAAATTTGTGCACTGGGCCTCTAGTTTATTCTATAAAAGGAGGAAGGATCTATTGTTAAAAACAGCCTTTACATGTTACAAGCAACAGACTTCACAATTGTTTGCAATGTTTAATAAATCATGCATTTAAGTGAAGCCACCAAAAAGAAAATAGGCATATGGATATGTGGTGTTGAAATTAACATTGGTTTTAAATATAAATAAAACATAAAAATTGTTGGAAATAAAAGAAAATAAAACTTCAATGTACTACATTATTATGAATGGATAATATATCAATATTTCCTTTAACTCCATTTTAACAGTGTATCTTGGTTTAAACAATAAGTTACCTATCTCAAGTAACAAGTAAACCAATGTACAAATGAAACTGGCAAGCATTCTGTAATATAAAACTATACAAAAAACCTAATATATATAATTCGGTAAGAAGCCAATATAATTAGAGATAAACATGTAAACTTTTCCTGACCTTGATTTTTGTCAGGTGGCTTTATATATGACTCTTCTTTTCCATTTATTACCTAAATGTTCACATGTCATTTAACATAGAAGGCAGATACACTTTCACCACACAATTTTTAAACAAGTATGTATTGCCTACTCATGCTCAGGTAATGTGAAAGGTGCCAGAGATGCCTAGTTAAACCTATCCTCAAGGAATTCACAGTTAGAGGGGGGAAAAATCACATAAACTAGAGCAAGGCAGTGTGATATCAGTAACGGGGGTTACTGATATCATAAACAAGGGTTACTGTAAGAGCACAAATATTAATTATATAATCAGAGAGAGTAGGTGGATAGATAGGTGATGGGAGAGAAACTGAATGAATGGGTAAATGGGGATATGCAAACATGGTGACTGGATAGGAAAGGATAGACATATAAATATAGTCAGGAAGAGGGAAAATGGTCCATGGGTGGTGTCACAAAACACTTTACAATCAACTTCATAAAATATTCTTAAAACATTGTATATTAATAAGCATTACTCTAAATAGACTTTCTGTTATCAGCTCCGGTGGGTTAAGCTTTGTATTAGCTGACTTCAAGAGGAAGATGAAGGTATCAGAGTTATAGAATTATTCTGACAACTGGTTTAGAAATTTCATTTTCTTTTCTTTTTTTAAAAATATATTTTATTGATTTTTTACAGAGAGGAAGGGAGAAAGATAGAGAGCTAGACCCCAATGAGAGAGAAACATCGACCAGCTGCCTCTTGCACACCCCCCACCTGGGATGTGTCTGCAACCAATGTACATGCCCTTGGCCAGAATCGAACCTGGGACCTTTCAGTCTGCAGACCGATGCTCTACCACTGAGCCAAACCAGTTTCGGCTAGAAATTTCATTTTCTAAAGTAACATCCTCTTTGGTTAAAGGATTCATTTTTCTCTATTGAGTAGCAGCACAAAATGTACCCAACATACATATGTTGAAGAAAATTATTTTATTATTTTACATAGTACCTATAATATTGGATAATCTTTACTCAGCAGTTAAATAAATGATCAAGTATTACATAGTTGAATCCAGAAGAAAAAAAAAAACACTGAAGCAGAAATAGGAGCTAAAAATCTTTTCAAAAAATGCTGTAGGATTAACTTATGAAAGAGTTTCATCACTAAAAAAGGAAATGTAACACTCAAGAATGTTCCTCTCATTCTTGGAGAGTTATCATCTCACTTCTCCAAATGCTTAAATATAACAATGGCATGTGTCAAGGGGGCTGGGCAGGGCGAGTGAAAGAGGGTGTGTCTTCCAAAGCCTTACCTCAGCACCAAAGTAGTTGAAGATTCCCACTACACTCACAGGAACCAGCTTGTTCACACAGCGTCCCAGAGCTTTTCTTCCAAGGGCAAACACAAAAGGAATTTCTTGTTCCCGGGCCATGGCTATAACATTATAGAGAGCCTCATCCAGTCCACCTGAGAAAGTCAATACATCCAAAGGTTTTAGAATTATTGTTTTCTAAATGGAGCTATTTTAGCGCCCAACATTAAAGCATAAAACACAGCAGCAAAGAGCTCTATGAAGGCCTGTGGCACTTATGCTATTCCATACATTTTCCCTATTTGAATTTGTACTATTTATGGATATATGTACATATTTTCTTTCTCCCCAATTAAATTCCACAACTCCCTAGTATCCATAGGAATCAGCATATCAGGAGTCAAATTTCTATAGAATAAACATTTGTTTAAAATTGTTAATAGTGGTTGATTCTTTTATTCAACCTCTCAGCTCAAATAGCAACCTATCACATGTAATATTTTATTGGAATTTGTCCCCTAATGCAGAACATGCCTAATACTGCTACTTGATGCATTTGTCTACTCCAATCACCCAAAGTAGAACTTTATGAAAAAGTACAAATAAGGGTACATGACATAGTACGGAATACTTGTGTGCCAGCTCACCCAAGAACCTCTGTATTAACTTCTGGTTTCTAAGGGGCAAATCTCCATCATAAGCAAGACAAAAGGTAATGAAAGGTAATATAAAAAGGTAAAAAAGTAGAATATATTTGCAGTGGTAAAGAAATGTACTCTTACTAGTCCCCACTCTGATTATAACAGAGGGCACACTTGGCTAGCCCAAATTAAAGCCTTCACTGGTAGTCTATAGATGGGAATTTTCTTTATAATCCAATCTTAATTTTATTACTTAATTTCAGGTACTGAAAGATATTTTCTTTCCTCACATTCAATATTATGCCTCAGACCTAAACTCTGCTAAGTCATATAACTTCCATTTTAAAATTGACTTTACATCCTACGATTCCATTAAATAAATATTAAATTACTTCAAAAGTAAAATGTTCATACCTTTTGACTGGATTTTTTCACAGTTTGGAGAAATTATAACACACTTGATCTTGTTTAACTTCATATGTTTGGTAACCTCCCTCAGACCCATAACCAGCCGTCTCCTCGCTTTTGCTCTTGCAGGATCCTTTTGATAGATTCGTTCCTGGAAACTGACAAGCTCTTGAAGAAGAAGAGTCACACATTCATCAATCTCTTTACAAAGAACCTGATTACAATACCTATAAAGGAAACAAAAAATAAATAAGTTTGTCCTCATTTATTTTTCTGCAACTATAAAATTACTTTAGGATAGAAACAGATCAAGTCAGAGGTTTTCATAAAAACTATTAAATCTTTAAAGTATCTTATTCCTTCAGTCAATTAGAAAAACAGAAGAGTTTTCCTGAATTACAGGAGATTTATGTAAAGGATAGATCAATCTCAAGGAGGTACTATCTAAATTCCCAATACTAAATTCCTGAGAATATAAATAAAATGTTAGCCTGCTTATTAGATAAAAAAGAAGTACGTTTTTGGTAAGGAGATATGTTACTTCATTCAAATGAATATTAAAGATGCTTCTAGCTGAAACCGGTTTGGCTCAGCAGTAGAGCGTCGGTCTGTGGACTGAAAGGTCCCGGGTTCAATTCTGGTCAAGGGCATGTACGTTGGTTGTGGGCACATCCCCGTTAGGGGGTGTGCAAGAGGCAGCTGGTCGATGTTTCTCTCAAATCAACATTTCTAGCTCTCTATCCTTCTCTATTCCTCTCTGTAAAAATCAAATATTAAAAAAAAAAATAAAAAAAAATAAAAAAAATAAAGATGCTTCTAGTAAATAGGAAAGAAATATAACTGTAGATGCTTACTGAATACTCTAATACTAATAATTCATCCTCTACTCTTGGATAAGTCACAATATCTAGGCATTGTCTTCCCTCAACCATAAAATACAGAGTTAACTAAGATGACTTCAATGGTCCTTCTAACTCCAAAAACTATGACCAGGGAGGATAACGCACTAATTAAATTCAAACCAAAACATCAAAGCAACTGAATGAGGTTCTTTGTTCTATATATGGTAACAATATAAAATAATAATAATAATAATAAAGGAAATAAGTGTGAGGCCGCTATAGTACTTAATTTTAGGAATTATTTCCTCTTAATATACTGTACTTTTCAAGTTCTAAACCCTAATCTCTTTCATAAGCAAATTTCTACTTCTAATTACAGTATAGAGTAGAAAAATCTATGCCTACCCTTTTTCAGTAAAAAAAAAGGCTGCTTTGGGAATTTTTTTTTCCCGTTTATGTGAAAAATGTTTAAATAAGTACAACTATGACATTCTTCAGAAGGGAAGATAAAACTGGACAGACTGAGGAAAGATCAACTATCTTAAAGTATGCAAAATTAAAGAACAGAACATCAAAAATGCAATTTTATTCATTCTGTTTTTCTTTAAGCTGTTTATTTGGCATGTATATAGCATTTTATGTACTGAGTTTCCTTTGCTTCACATCTGTTATTTAACATTAAATTAACTCCCCAAATCAAGAAGTACTCGCTCAAGCCGAGACCGGTTTGGCTCAATGGATAGAGCGTCGGCTTGGGGACTGAAGGGTCCCGAGTTCGATTCCGGTCAAGGGCATGTACCTTGGTTGCGGACATATCCCCAGTGGGGGGGTGTGCAAGAGGCAGCTGATCGATGACTCTCTCTCGTCGATGTTTCTAGCTCTCTATCTTTCTCCCTTCCTCTCTGTACAAAATCAATAAAATATATTTAAAAAAAAAAAAAAGAAGTACTCGCTCAAAAGAATAGTACAAAGAAAAGGAGCAGAACAAACCAATGTGCTTTGGATTCACACAGATTTTATTTCACCTTGGAACTTGTTCATTGTCATTTTTAAAGGTAAAATTAATTCATCTGCACATAGGCAAAAAATTAATTCATCTATTGGCTGCCTCCTGTATGCCCCATTTTAGAATGTTAAAATTCTAAAATCCTTCACAGCAATAACTGTTAGTTCAAGGTTATCCACAAATTGCCAATTTAAAACTTAGAAATATTTGCTCAAAATAAATAGCTTTATGTAATAGTTTCACATAATGTAATAGGGTTTTTGAATCTTGGGCTTGGAGTTAGAGAGGGTTTTTTTTGAAAGGTCAATAATATAAATTAAAAAGCAAAAGCACTTGGAGCAGGAAACCTAATAGTGCACAGCATTTTATATATATAATGTAACAGACCAAATTTCCAGGATATAAACATTATCTAATATAAAAAGAATATATTTACAGCCAACTTACTTTCACATGAACATTGATAACTGATGGAAGGCAAATGCTTTAAATATAACAAAATCAGCTTTTAAATCTGAAACAACTTAAAGATCTTTAGTATTTTATCTGCTCAACCCACCAATAATGACAATACTATATTCAGAACTACATAAACTATTCAAACTCAGTAATGAGACTAAAACTTACTTTCTAGCCCTAACCAGTTTGGCTCAGTGGATAGAGTGTCAGCCTGTGGACTGAAAAGTCCCAGGTTCGATTCCAGTTAAGGGCATAGGAGATGTGCAGGAGGCAGCTGACTGATGTTTCTCTCTCACTGATGTTTCTAACTCTCTATCCCTCTCCCTTCCTCTCGGTAAAAAATCAATAAAATATATTTAAGGAAAAAGAAAACTTACTCCCTAAATCTTTTGCTGTGGATTTTGGTTATTGTTGAAGACGCCATTGGACTGCCTATCCCCGAACTAGCTGGAGAGCCTTGTGACACAGGTGTCATACAGTACGGAGAGTTCTGACTTGCTGGAGAGAGTGAAGTATCACTGGGCATGCTCAGACCAGTATCTGCAGAAAAGTGGGGTGAGAATAAAGAATTTAGAAACTTCAAATGCTGAAAATGCAGCTCTATATTAAAATAAATACAATCAATATAATTTAGAATGGCAGTTGTCTTTTGCACCACTTCCAAATTCTCCAGAAGCTAACAAGTTGGACACTGTTCATATCACAAATAAACATTTCTCATACATACAAAAATGAAATCTTCCTACTATTTCTCAAAATATACTACCCTTCCTGGCCCCCCTCCAAAAAATTTAAGCATGGCCCACAGGTCTCGAGAAGAGATGAGAAGACCAAATGACCTAAAACATGTAAAGGTATGCCGAAACCGGTTTGGCTCAATGGATAGAGCGTCGGCTTAGGGACTGAAAGGTCCCAGGTTCGATTCCGGTCAAGGGCAAGTACCTTGGTTGCGGGCATATCCCCAGTAGGGGGTGTACAAGAGGCAGCTGATCGATGACTCTCTCATCAATGATTCTAACTATCTCTCTCCCTTCCTCTCTGTACAAAATCAATAATATATATATATATTTTTTAAAAATTGGGCTTCTTATTAAAAAAAAAAAAAAACATGTAAAGGTATTAACTTCTGTACCAGAAGATAATATTACTCATGTCCTTCATCTCTATTTGCCTTCCTGTTTCTTAGAAATCATTTTTAAAAAACTGTACAAGTTCCCATCACTGCTGCCAACGATGATTCTACTTTACTCATTCTCTCCACACCACTCCTGATTCTTGGGCACCACCTAGATTCTCTCTCATTTGGTCTTTGTGTCTGTGCTCAGGCAGTCACATTTTTACTTATTTTTTAAAATATTTTTTATTGGTTTTTAGACAGAAAGAGAAAGAGAGAAACATTAATATAAAATAGAAACATCTACTGGCTACCTTTTGCATGCCCCCTAACTGGGAATGAACCCACAATCTGGGCATGTGCACTGACCAGGAATTGAACCAGCAACCCTTCAACTTGTTCAGAACAGGCAGCCACAAATTTAGATGCCATCTAACTCAAATGCCTCCCTAGGTTACTGCTTCTTTCCTAAACACCTAAACTGAGGAGAAGAGTTAGTATTTGTATATTCATCCATTAACTAGTAATTGTACATATAGCATATCTCCATATATAAAAGCAAGACCAGTACATTTCCTGATCATCTCATCCTCACCCTAGTTACTAAAGTATATATGATAGGTATTTAATACGGGATAAATACACCTAAATACAAAGACAGTGATACTTGAGAGTAAAGGGAAATCATAACCATATATGTCCTAGCTAAATAATCCTTAGAAGCAAATTCATTCTTTTAAACACACTGGAACACTGCTACTTAATATATAAATAAATCAGATTTAAAATTGGTGAAAATTTTTGAGGAATAAATATATACCAGCAGAAAAAGGGACCTTGCCAAGTCTCTTCTTAAAATCTTTCTTTCACAGTAGTATAATTTTAGAAGGAATCTATAGATTTGTCAAGGTCCCAACTGGAATCATATGTGCTGGCTACTGTATGGACTAAATCTTAGTAACCAACTGGACTGTGTGTTATGACAGGCTGTGCATTCTCTACTCATTGTGGCATATGCATTAATTCATGACAGCAAGAAAGAGAATCAAGAAAACAATTCACTTGAAAACAGTCCAATGAAGAAAGACAGCTAAGTTTTCCAGATATAAAAGAAGACAAATGAAAAGAACTATGACAGTTACAGAGGATACATTGGCGAGATCATAATTATGAAGGGTTTACAATAAACTTAGGATTTAAGTCTCAAAAATGCCAAAGACCTGCCATATACTACTACTCACCTCCTTTTAAATATCTCCCTATAGAAGCATCTTCAAACGAAATCACTTTCAAAAATAAAGAAATTTAGATAAAATATAAAGGAGAATAATATGGTAATTAGTGATGGCTCACCTATCGATTAAAATGCTCTAAACCAATTCATGAGAAGATAGGGGAAAGGGGGGAATCTTACCTTCCTGGGAAACAATCTCCTGTGGCAAATCATCAATAAAATCTAAGTGCATTTCTATTGGTTCCTCAGATCCCAAAAGATTGTGGTCCACAGTTAAACGGCCCTTCTTTTCCTCTCTTTCTTTCAAAATAACCTAAAAGTCATTACCAGTCTTTCATTACTGATCACTCTTTAAGTATGTATACTGAATATAAAATTTTCACTATTACATAGGTACAGTAGTAGCTTACTTAAAAAATGGACATGAGGATTTTTGATTTAGTTGGCTACACAGAAACTGACTGGCAAAAAAGAAAATGTAATTTCAGGTACCATAGCTGAAGAAGGTACTAAATCCAAAATAAAGGGAGGAAATTATGTTCTAATCTACTATAGCTATCTAAGCATATCTACTTCGGTCTTCAAATACTAGGTGGCAGCACCTAGTTACCCTGAAAATGGATCAAATTAGAAGTTTGGAAACCAGGTCATAAAGTTACAATAGATTTATATTTTGCAGTTTTCAATTATTTGGACATGGATTATCTCCTCCTAGTAACAACACTGAATTTAACAGAGCAGTGCTATTACTTAACATTTATAAAGAAGATGAGGTAAAATTTGCCTAAAACTACATGACACCACTTAAGTTAGTATTAGAATCCAGAACTTCTCATTCCTAGCATCCAATGTTTTGGGATGCTAAATGTTTAACTTAAAAAAAAAATCTTATAAAAAGAATTTACTATCCAGGGTCCTGTTCAATACAGACAAATAGCCATGGAAGCTGATGATATATCCCCAACCTCGAATTAACTTTATCACCACCTTTATGATAATGCCTAGCAACATTTCATAATAATCTGTTGGCTAAAATGCCACACTACTGATTGCAAAACAGATTTAAATTCTCATTTGTCCTATAAAATAAACATCTCAGATTTTGGTTTACCTTTTTAAGTGCTGTGGGCCGTTTTAGTTTTACAATTTCCTTCTCTTTTCCTTTTTTTGCTTTAGAGGAAGTAATGTCCAAAGAATTAAAGGATGTCAAACAGGGCTGACTTTTGGTTAAAGGTTTTCTGTTAGTAGAATCTTTAGTGTGAAAAGAAGCTGCAGTGACCACTAAAAACAAACAAGAACATTAGTTTTACTACTACTGCCAACTCCACATAGTTGGAAATTCTCTAATGGAAAATCTACAAAAACAAGAACATCCTCTTCTTGTGGAAAAACAGACATCAGATTGTCAGAGCAGCACACAGCCATGTAAGCATCCCTCAGATACAGCTTTTATCCATTTTTTTTAACCTCCATAATATAAAGACAAAGCAGGTGCAGTCAACTAATTTAGCACATCTAAAGTAGGGATATTTAAGTTATTAGTTCTACTCTACTCCAGCAGCCCTTAAGCATGTCAATTTCTGCAATTGGTCTCCAAACAGAATCATTCTACCTCTGACAGTTCACCTCCCCTTTGTTTCACTCAATGTGTGTCATATATTCGAGTCACACTTCCATGTAGTCTAGCCCTCATTTCATTCTGTCATTAAGAAGGATCTCCCTCCTCCAGCTGCATTCTCAGTACTGTTCAGCAATTTTATGCCTAACTGATACCCTCATTCTCCTGTGGCTATCCCCAAATCCTTTGCCAATCTTAAATTTTAATCTCAATCCTCTCACTTTATCAGACAAGTTTTTCTGCTACTACTGAAAAGATACTATCCAATATAAACTTAGCAGCCTGAGAGGAGGCAGCAGACATCCCCTTACTCCATCCAAGGCTCACTAATCACCTGTGCTCTTTCTTTTTTAATATATTTTATTGATTTTCTACAGAGAGGAAGGGAGAGGGATAGAGAGTTAGAAACATCGATGACAGAGAAACATCAATCGGCTGCCTCCTGCACACCCTCTACTGGGGATGTGCCTGCAAAGAAGGTACATGCCCTTGACCGGAATCGAACCTGGGACCTTTCAGTCTGCAGGCCAATGCTCTATCCACTGAGCTAAACTGGTCAGGGCTCACCAGTGTTCTTAATCCCATTTCAGGATTAATTCCATAAGAATTTGCTCCAACCCTTAAGTCTTTAACCCTTAAATCCCCACAAACCTTGGAGGGAGGGAGGGAAAAAGGGAAGGAGGGGAAAAAGCAAATCAATAAACCTCTTCCAGAAAAGCAGCCAATTAGGTTGCTTGGAGTAAAATAAATAAATAAATAAATAAATAAATACTTCTTTCCTTGATGGGCTTCCCCTCAAATTCAGGTATCATCACTTCCTCTCCCCTCCTTGTTAAAATTCTGAATAGTCTGCATTCTTATCATCACTTCTCAAATCATTACAATCTGGTCTCTGTCCTATACACTTTCTTGAAACTGCTATTGTCAAGATCACATATAATATCTTGCCCCTGCCAAATCTAATTCTCTTGAGTCTTCATTCTTTGTTTCTTTCAGCATTTGGTACCAAAGATCACATCTCCCCCAACATCCCTACCCCCCAATTCTAACTCTGCCTTCTGTAACAACACTCTCCTATTTTCTCATTCTTTCTTAAACCTATTCTTTGTCCTTTAAACCTAAGCATTCCACGAGGCTTTATCCCTGAAGATCTTTTTTCCCCCTAACTTTTCTTGCCCAATCTTATGTATTTCCATCGCTACAACTTCTCTATTTAAAACTTCCTGACTTCTAACCTAAACTGCCCAAGCATACATAACTGTAAGTTAAATGGGAATCACCACGATCTCCCTAACTAGCTCTTCTTCCCAACAAAATTCTTTCATGATCCTTATTTTGTTAGGTTTCATCACAGCTTTTACCATCACCAAAATCCTTGAAGCCAGAGAGTTTGCAATAATTTTTGACATGCTTCTGTATTCCATCAGTAAAAAACAAACAAACAAACCTCAAACCTATCAATTCCTTACAAGCTTTTCAAATCTCTATCATCTACCTTTGTTTGGACTTTCCAAAAAGTTGATTTCTTTGTAATCAAC